ATTCCCAGAAATGCCCCTGCAGGCATGTGCGCTGCCGCACAACTGTTTGCGGGTGAGTTGCGTGGGTGGTGCCTGAAATGGGATCTTTTGTGAATTGGGCCTCAAATGACTTAGCCTACAGGCCCAGAACTATTCCAATCATCTTGTAGTCCATAATTCTTCAAGTTTTCTTCAATTTAAGCCCAATTTGTCTTCTCCAATCCACCCATAGCTCAAGTACTCGCCCGATCAATAATTTATGCATGCTCGAATATTCTTCCATCTTTTTTTTAACTAAAAGACCATCTTCTTTAAGTTTCCATAATCAACAAGCCCAAGAATTTCATCATCTCCATTACTCTTCTAGCCTAAGATTATTTATCGTCCTTATAGTCCATTTTATTTTCACACGTCCCGAACATTCCCGCTCCGCTAGTTTCCATAATCAAAAAGCCCAAGAATTATGCTCACAAAACTAGAAAGTACCCAAAATAGTCATAAAATAACAAAAAATAATATATATGCATGAAGATTAGCTAAATTATGAATGAAATATGCTAAAATAAACTATAAAAGGAAGTAAATAAAATGAAACTATCAAATCACCCCAAGCTTGAACCTTACTTGTCCTCAAGTAAGACAGGACTAAAATGAACTTGGGATGAACTATCCTAAAAGTAAAAAAGAATGGACAGAACCATAGAACCTAGTCAAAGTTAGTCAACATGGTCAGAGTTGATCTTGCTGTTATCCCAAGAATTTTTCATCCGATTGACATTGGTACCATAAATCACAACCCATGACAACTCCTTCAGGTGAGTAAGGAGGGAAGGTCAGTCATAACCCCAAATGGAACATGCATACAATGAAAAACCTTTGTAGTAGGATAAAAGAGATGGATGAGCTCGGATGGAGCTCTTTTTTAAGTGTACACTCTTATCACGAAAGTTGCATGATCTCACGTCTGACAGTTTCTCTCCTGTGTGATTGAGTTTCATCGCTTTGCACCATTGTAGGAATCAGTTCACTTAGTGTTGGCCCGAACCTCCTGTAGTATCCGACTCGACAGATTCCCTAGCATCACCAATTTGCGAAAAAACAATTCGATCTATATATAATAAAACCTACCTATCTACATGGATATCAATCTTCGGGTGACCAAAATGTAAAAAAAAAAAAAAAAAAAAAAAACTTGTTCAATAATTGAACCAGTCATACATCTAAAATAATCGCAGCTTAAAATTGTTTGTTTGAGCTTCTCTTTTCTTATTTAATTTTTTTTAGCAATGCTTGAAGGTAATGTTGCAACATAGCGAAATTTTTACCAAAAGAACTTTTTGACTCGAGATTTGGTTCCAAAAGTATGTATGTGGAACTGAAAGATAGTAATATGAATGGTCTAAGTTTGAAAATGACCAATGTGTGGAGCATAAAGTTGTAGGCTCCTTTTCAAACTTTTGATTTTCAAACTTGATACAGTCCATTTTTAGTTTATACATAAACTCACAACATAATACAATCCATTATACACTAATTCACAAATTCAAATAAGTCAAACCCAAACTCTACCACCATTACTAACAACTAGACAACGTCACCAACTACATGTGCCACTTTTGCAACTATCCTTCTTTTCAAATCAGACTTGTATATAAAATCATGGATTCATAGCTTAAATATTATATTCATAGTTTAATAAACCAATTAATTTACTAATTAAGAGTTTAGTGCAAAATAATTATAAAATCTAATATATTCTTGTATATTTATACAACACAAAAAGTAAATATATTCACAAAATAATTAATACAAACATTCATACATAAATTAGTCATATTTTAACACAAAATTCATCAAAAATTCACAGCGTAATACAATCAATTCACAGTTCAGTACACAAAATTCACAACTAAATATAAAAAGTTCACAATTTAATGCACAAAAAGTATACATTCACAACCATATTCTTTGTAACATCCCGAAATTCAGGTGCATCTCTTAAACCCTTCTTCTTTTCCAAGTTGTCAAGTTTAGCCCTTAAAAGAAAGTTATGGCAAATAAGTACGCTGGGCGTACTGAAGAGTACGCTGCGCGTACTCATGCGCTTAAGTTGGACGCGGACTCGATTAGGTACGCTGGGCGTACCAAGGTTACGCCGGGTGTAACCGACCCAGATGCAAAACCCTAATAAGACTTGAGGACTATAAAAGGAATGATATGGTCTTATCCTCAGCCACCATTTCACAGAGAAAGAAACCCTAAGAGAGCAATATCATCGTTCTAGGCTTGTGTGTGTGTTTTTGAGCTAGAAAGTGTCTTGGTGTGGTAGTGAAGAAGAAGAGGAAGTTCTTGTGGAGGCTAGAAGTTGGAGTACAAGCTTGGATCTGAGTCCTACAGAGAGTGGAGCTTCACTTGGAGGTAAAAAGCTCGAATCTTTCCTTATCATTTTTGTTTTGTGCTTGATGGACCAACTTTTAGGGTTTTTGGTCCCAAGATGGAGACTTTATGAGCAAATGGCCTCCATAAGCTTAGATATGCCTTTTTTCAGTGTAATATGCGTTGTGGGTTCATAAAAATCCAATCTTGGACGTTAAGATTAAGACATGCATGAGATTAGGGCTTAATGGGGAAAGATGTTATATGTTTGAAGTGGTTGGTGACCTTTATAGCCATGCAAGGCTTAAAGGTTTCGACTTTATGACTTAAGAGGCAGTAAAGAGCCTAGATCTGTGATATGAGCCCATGACTTAACCTATTCAGACCAAAAATGAAGAAAGGATGAATCTGGGACTTACGCTGGGCGTAATCCCAGTACGTGCCGCGTAGGGGGTCGAGTTCCCCGACTCTGGATGATCGCGGAGTACGCCCCGCGTACAGATCTGGTACGCGCCGCGTACCACCTTTCAGTTGACTTTCGTTGACTTTTAGGGTTTGGTCAAACAATTGGACATTTGGGACCATTGAGGGGTAAAATGGTCTTTTAGCCTTCTGAGAGGACATAGGAAGGGATTAGTCTAGCCTTGAGAGCCGTTAATGATTTGAAATAATTACTTTATGTGATTAGGCGGGGCTAGGTCGTTGTTTCGAGATTCAGGGATATCGAGCACGTGAGTTACTAGACATCATACGAGGTGAGTCTTCTCACTATACTTTACCTAGAGTGGTAATATGTGTGACCGGAAGGTCTTATATGTTATGAGAAGTATGTGTTGTATGCTGTTATTGGATATGTATGTGCTATGTTATGTATGCGTAGTAAGCTATGGAACGGAAGGTCGTTATGATGTGGACCGGAAGGTCATTATGATATGGACCGGAAGGTCAAGATGATATGGACCGGAAGGTCGCTACGGGTAGGGCCGGAAGGTCTACTGGGATTGTGGGACGGAAGTCCCCTGAGACACATTGACCGGAAGGTCTTGTAGAGCTATAGCCTTGAGTGGCGTATGTGTGTATGTGGTATTTTGGGGAACTCATTAAGCAGTTATGCTTACAGTGTTTGTGTGATGTGTTTCAGGTACCAGTGAGGATCGCGGGAAGGCGTCGGCATGATCTGTACACACTGATGGGATTTATGTATTAGAGATCTTGGGATTTGTTTTATTATGATGACATGTGATACAATGGATTTTTATGATATCTTATGAATGGAATTATGTTTTAAAAAAATGAAAAATTGTTTTGAAAATTACGTTGTTACATTCTTAACTTATAACTTATAGATATACCGTTAGATCTATAGGTTAATGTTTCTTTCAAAGTTTATTTCCACAAATCTTCACAATTTAAATTTTACATACTTTATTCAAAACTAGGTTAATTCAGTCATTTCATAGGTTAATACGGTTAATTCACAGCTTAATACAATCAAATCATGGTTTAATAAAAAAACAATCACAACTTAATATAATAATTTCAAAGTTTAATACAAAATATTATACTTCAAAGTCATATTCTCAACTTAAAACTTACATTTCAAGACTTTAATTCACAATTTAATAAAGTAGTTTAGGTCTCTCATTCATGATATTTACAACTTAAAACATGATTGATTTTGTTGAAGCATTTCATCAAATATCTTGTGTGCACCAAACAAATTCACACTTTAATAGAGCATTTCAGGACTCTTATTCACAGTTTAATAAAACAGTTTAGGAATCTTATTCAAAGTATTCACAACTTAAAAACGTATTAATTCACTCATTCATAGGTAAAACTAACTTGAACAGAACTAAACAATAGTTGAAACATTAAAAATCAAAATTCACAGCTTAAATAAATAAATTCACATTATGTGAGAAAACATTAACATAATAAAACACATTTTAATTTCAATTAACAGTCCAACAACTATAAAACATAAACAGTGAATAACAATTTTATGTAAATATTATAACAAATAAGAAAATAAACATTGATTCACAACTTAACCACATAAAAAACTGTGATTGACAAAAATAACCAATAAATGAGAGATTAAAGCATTAAATTCACAACTTAACAGAAGGCAAAATTATCAAAACAAAAATTGACATATGTGATGTGCTTCATTGGAGATCAAATAAAAATATAGGGAGGAGGTGGCGGTGCTGGAACATATCTAAGGCGGTGGAACTACCATCGGCCACTGTTACCACTGTTATATCTTCAGATCGATACATGAAATAGCACCACATAAAGTAGATCTAGAAAAATCGAAGCACATACATCAGATCTGACCAGATCTAAACATGATGTCGAAAGTAAGAGGCTGTGATGGACATCAGTGGTGGTAGCGATGGTGGAAACGAAGTTGACGGTGATGAAGGTGGTACCAGATCTGACCAAATCGCACCAGATCTGAGATGTTTTGCGTTTTAGAGAGGGAAAGTTAAGCTGAAACAACTTCATGACTCCAAATCTGAGACCAGGTGGCGATTGATGGTGGATATGGATGTATTTTCATCAAATCTTATCAGATCTGTGTTTCCGTTAGTGGTAGGTTAACGACATGGAAAAGGAATTTGTGTTGACAGTGATGGATGAAGGTGGTGGTTATGCCGCTCGTCGGAACTCATAAATCTGGAGGAAAAAATCATAGATCTGAAGACAAAAACCATAAATCTGAAGACGAAAATCGTAGATCTGAAGAAGAAAATCTTAGATCTGAAGCTGAAAATCATAGATCTAAACCTAAAAATTGTAGATCTAAAGTTGAAGTTGTAGATCTGGAGCCAACCGGAGCCTGTGGATCTGATGGTGGTGGTTCACCGGTGGTAGGAGGCGGCGGCGGTTCGCCGACGGGAGGAGACGGCGACACTATGGAGGTGGTGGCTGGTGGCAACCGATGAATAATGTTCGTGTGTTCTTCAAGTTTGAAATGAGAGAGAAGACATTCATGTGAGAGTGTGTGTAGATCAGAATTAATAAAAAATGAAAGTGAGTTCCTATGTTATACCTTAATAAAAAAAGGTTTTTAAGTGGTTCTTGACATTTAGGGTTCTCATTTGATCTTTTATATATATATATATATATATATATATATATATATATATATATATATATATATATATATCATTATTATATACAAAAGACCTTTTATTCTCGTTCTACCAATATGAAATTTACACGCTTTACTTAACGCCACATCATCCAGGTTCTAAACGATGCCATGGGCATCAATGCCGATTCACACCCTCTAATATGTCGTATCCACTTCCGTCTCATCACCTTCACTCGCATACGATCGCTTCTCATCCTGCAGGACAAAATTGGCGACCACATCCCCTCCCTGCGATATCTTTTTCTTCTCCATCGCTTCGTCCTTTTGTTTACTTATTCAAAATCTTCATGGAAGGTCCAAGAAACAGATGCTTAGTTTGACTCTTTTTATCCTCCATGTTTTGGGACACCGACCTCCTACTTCTCCATACCACCGCTTTCTCTAATCTAATCATATTCAATGTTTTTTATTTTCTTCCTTTGTATAATTGGGCTCTCAATTTTTTACAAGACATCTTAAATGGATTTTCTCTCAAATCTAATCATCTCACCACAGTCGCCTGGCCCTTTATTCTTTTTTGTTTTGGACTATGTCTATCATAGAAAACTAACATATGGGAAGAAGATGAAGATTGAATCACATAAAAAAAATCTTCCATCTCCGATCAACAATATTTCCGAACTTTGGGTTGCCCTAATTTTCCCTGATTGGGGTTTGCAGTTTCACTATGATGGTTGACTACTCCGACAAATTTGGTATTATTTGATGTGCATTCCTCCTAGGAAAATTATGTGACTAGATATTAATGAAGAACCTACAATGTTTATGAGGAGGCAGGGCGAAATGTAATTTGTTGATTTCAAACGTAGGTGATTAGGGCGTGTGTTTAGGAAATTATAATTGTGTGCTTCACGAACTAATTTGTAGAATGGTTGCAATAGTTATCCTAATATCATTTTTAATTGTATGCTTCTGTTGATTGATTTTCCGCACATTAATTTCAAATCAAGTTATTTTCTTCTTTTTTTTCTTTTGAAAAGATGGGAGCAGGGGACACCTCGCATATCCATTATCAAACTACTTTTCTATAAAGTCGTTGGATCCTATGATGTTGATCGGTGTGGTTGCAAAGTACTTTTCTTTAACCAGATCATTCAGTCACCAATTATTTGTAAATCCTTTTAGGCAATTTTGGTTACGTGGGACATGAAAATGTAAGTCATTTGGGACATGAAAATGGCATAGGGGTGTACGTCCTGTAACTTTTCTTTTTTATGCCTATGTATGATCTCAGGTGGAAGCACGGAAGAGAAGGAATAGGGGAGCAAAAAGAAGATAAACGTACGTAGACCCTGTATGGATATGTTGTAGTGGTTTCAGGGTAGCTAAGGATGCCAAAATATCAACAATGAATCCTATGAACGAAATCACCTTCTACAAGGTATTTGCGCTAGATATTATGATCCTTAATTCATATAGGATTTTGCTTTTATAAATGTAGTAATGTGCTTTACTGCTATGTATAAAAGCCCTTTATTCAAATAAAAATTAAAACAAAAAGCTACTGAAAGCAAATATATGTATGTTGTAACTGCTAGCAATTATAATGATTATAAACATGTTTTTTTCGCGGTTTTGTTTTCCTGTGAAAGACCATGCATAATTATATTAAAATAAAACAAAATAATAATAATAATAAAGCAAATATAAGGTGATAATTGTTTTGCATTCTTTTAATTTACTAAACATTTCCATAGAGAAAGACCAATATTAATCCATCAGTTGAAAAACAAACTCTTCATGTTACATGACTAAGTATATAGTACATATTCTTTCCAAAATGTGATTTACACACTCTACATAATATTGATCAAACCATGAACCAAAGTTTGTTTCGTTAGCCACATAACTTGTCAATCGTGATAACATGTTCATTCTTTTCTCTTTAAATCGTGGAGATAAACAATCTACCAAATCATATACATGCTAAATAATAAGCATATTTTGCATAGTTAAGCTAATTATTATGATTAAATTGATGCAAATCATTGGGAATACCCTAGAAGGTAAATATATATTTTCCATGTAAATTTTATTTTTTCAGTCTTCTATCAAACTATACAGGGTTTTGTTCCATATTTTTCACCACACACTGTATCAATTGATAGGAAATGTTGATACTCATAAAAGGGGACTGCAAATGTGTTCTTTATACATCTGTATATTTGTGGATTTGTGTTTAAATGTCGATTTCGTTTTTCCTAGTCTCCTATTCACATTATTGCATTATTCACTTTTAGATGTTGATTGTTGTTTTGGATTCGTTCAGAAAGCAGTCAAGGAAAGCCACTAAACAATTACTTTTTTATATGTAAATTGTCATTCATTTTTAAACTTAAACAATTGTTTTTTTCCCTCTTTATCTTCAAAACAATTTTAGAGGTAATGGTACGAATGAAAATTAAACATTAGATTGAAAACCACTTAATCAAGTTGAGTGGGATGTTAAGCAATATAATGATAAAATGCTTTCACAGTGACGAGCGGTTCAAAGCAAAAGAAGTGAACACTTCATGGATATCTTTAGCCATCAGGGACTATTCAGCTAGAGGTTATTCTTCTCAAGCAGGTAAGCTTGATCCTACATCGAATAACAACAATATATAAGCAGTCAAACCCTCTCTTCCTGAAAGTGGTTTCTTTTATTTTTTGCTGTCTTTTTCTGCTTTGACATATGTTGCAAGTCCAGGGGTAAAATCGACTTTATTGTGTTCTTATATGATGTGGAATATTATTTAAAACAACCAAGTACATGTTAACTTGATTAACTCCATAATCATTCATTCCCATGTTACTTCTTTATGTGTTACTTATCTCATCTTTTACTTCTTTCCTTACATTGGCAGCCATTTTTACAACAATCACTTTGAAGCAAGTATACTCGCTCTTACGGCAGCATGCTTTGGTTGATGAAGTTGTAAGTGTAGTTTCGTTTTTTGTATATGCACTTAGATTGTAAATATTCTTAGTGATGGTGAATATCAACCCATATCACTATCGTCCAATATTATTTTGTAAGTTTCCCAATATATAACTGCTAAACGTGGGAAATAGCAATTTAGTTTCATTTATTTGTGTATTATACATTGTATTTTTTTAAAAAAAATTATTCGTTGAAAATTACCCATTTATAGCATTGTACTTCCATTTCTTTGTTATTAGCACAATATACACTAATCGTGAAAGAAAACTGAAATTACACTTCGTGGGCCATGCTTAGCACGACCCTTAAACATACCTAATATATATATATATATATATATATATATATATATATATATATATATATATATATATGCTTAGGTTCTTGTATTCTAATTAATTATTGTGTGGATGTAGAGATGAATGTAGACCAATGATTTTAGTTATTTTAAGTAATGATTTACATATCTTTAAGGTAGGAAACACATGTTTAATTAATGGAAATTCCGGATTTTAAGGGATATTGATTCTTTTAATTTTGAATTCTGATTTTTTTTAATTAATTTATTTTTAATTCTAACATAATTTTTAGTTTTACTCGATTTTATTCTTTTAGAATGCAATTCTGTTAGAACGATATTCTATGAAAATGTCAGAATATATTCTGATAGAGTATATTCTTACAGAATAATAGTCTAAATAACATACTTAAATATACAATTATTGAACAAATAGATTTGATTACTAAAATTAATTAATAGATAATATTAAAAATTTACTTTACTTAATTAATTCTTAAACTATTTTGCCTAAATTAAAGGGATTAATTAAATATTTATTTAATTACTAAAATTAATTAATAGATAACATTAAAATTTTACTTTATTTAGGTTTTTGAAATGATTGACTCACATTGATTCCTACATCCACATAATAATTAGTTAGAATACTTGAATCTAGCTCTCTCCCTTCTTCTCTCTCTCTCTCTCTCTATATATATATATATATATATATATATTATATATATATATATATATATATATATATATATATATATAGGTAGAGGTTCATTTGAGACCACCTATATTTTGTGAGACATGGGGACCAAATCTTAACCTTAGATCAAAACTGATCTTGTGGCTCATAAAAAAACGTGATTAACCCTAATTAATCTAATTGATTAGTTAATGAGGGGTAGATTAGTCACTAGGTTAAATTTTAGATGATCAGATCTGATTCAATGTTAGCGTTATCTTCATGTCATCAAGAAATCATTGGCTTCGATTCTTCTACCAATATATTCACTGGAGCAACATTCATTGTTCTTCAATTCACTCTGATCAATCTTCTATCTCCTTAAATCTTCTATTCTTTCAACCGATAATCAATTTGATTTGGACATTAATCGAACAATGCTAAAGAATGGCTATTAAAGTTGCGTTTTTTGTGTTTTTTGAGTTCATGTTCTTCATTCTTCTACCTCAGCAATTGATAATCTGAGTGATTGAGGTTTATTTTCATCTATCAACACTAATAATTAAGTACAAGATTGTTATCGATTTTAGCTCTGTGATCATCGATTTCATCCAAGGTAGATGTTCAAGTGTTCAATCGATTTCTACTTATCTTCATCTTCAACAATTGCTAACGATCTTTCAAACTGTGATTTTTACTCTACATCACAATTTCATCAATTGATCAAGGTTTGAGTTTTCTTCTCTGTGTTTTCATTGCTTTCATTGTTACTTGCATATAACATGTTCAATTGTTAGCCTTGTAACATGAACTGATTGACTCATCAAGCTACTAGTCATTTCTCCAATTAATATATGTATAATTCATGATTTCAGCAATCAAACATCATAT